TTGTGTGACGATAATCTTGATATTTTGATATCGTAGAAACATTGGGAAGAAGTGAAAAATCAGCAAAACTCATAGTATACAGTGAAAATGTGGGAAGTAGGCACTTAAATTTCAGTGATATGATCCGTTGTTCTTTGCATTCATGGCAGGTTCTTCATCACCCAGTGTCCATTCGATAGGTATCTTGGGAACATTTGAGTTTTCCGTCAGACGTGACAGTCGGTTTCAGAACTTAGAATGGTGGGAGAGAATTAGGATCAATGGCCTTCTACGTATAACCATAGCTCCCTTGATTGCCGTAATCATAAATAGAACCAATAAAGAAAATTGGCGTGCCATATATGTGGGTTCAACGATATACAAATCAATCAAATTGCGCAAAATCTCGCAAAAAACATATATAATAATATTCGCAAGAATATTATAATTGGAAAAAATTGCTTCATTCGAAAATTCTGAACGCTGATTCAACTTTGAATTTGACTACACAAAATTGATATTCAAACGACCAAATACTACGTAGGAATGCCATTGAAAATTGTTGAATACCGTATTTGATTAGGATGATCTCTAGGTGAAATGTTAATTGTTATAAATTGCAAAGAAACACTCAGTTAAACAAAATTCTATTTATAAATGACACGGAGGTTTCGCTTATCTATTGGTGAAACATTAAGTTAAAAACAATAAATTGAAAATTAAAACACTTCACTGTGAAGTGTAGCTGTGAGTTTCACTGAATATATTACAAACTCTACAAATGTTTCGGGTGGTTAACCCCATTATCGACAGTATACAATATTACTGAATTTCAAAATGTACAGCTTTCACTTATATATCCTAAACCACAGAATTTAACACTGGTTTCACGGAAAAATCCACCTGTTCATTGCAAATAGGTAAATTCTTCTTTTTGGCTATCGAAATTTCCAAGACTTCAGGTGTCTTTTGCCCTTACTACCTGAGTTTTCTATTTCGGTGTTCCTGGCATCCAAGAAATGATTATATTCAATGCAGTGTTCAGAAAAACCCGTATTAGGTTTATTCAACAGTATTGATCTTCTATGCTAATCGATTCTTTTTTGTATAGAACGTCCAGTTTGACTTATGTAAAAACTATTACATTAACTGCAAAATATTTTATAAACGCCATTTCTCGAAAATAAGTCAAGTTTGTCCTTGAAATTCACCAACAATGAACCCAAATTCTTTTTGTTGGTGCATATAGTATTCACGTTATTTTTATGTACTTATTTGCAATGACCAGGTGGATTTTCCGTGAAACCAGTGTTAAATTCGGTGGTATACGATATATAAGTGAAAGCTGTACATTTTGAAATTCAGTAATATTATATACTCTTGATAATGGGTTAACCACCCGAAAAAAATGTAGCGTTGGTAATATATTCAGTGAAACTTAAGTGCTTTAATTTTTGATTTATTGTTTTTAGAATTATAATGGGTGATTGGTATCCGAACATCATCTGTCAAAGTGAAAAGTTTTCAGTATACTCTGCCATTTCATCATATGCAAACTAACAAACGAGCAACGATTATAAATTGTTGAAATTCACTATCAAAATTCGTGCTCTGTGAAAAATGTGTATCGTTTGTTACGACCATATTATGGTCGTTATAATAGACATGGTGAATCAACAATTTGTGCAGTTCTCACCAAATTTCGCACCAAGTTTACGTTGTTGGACATTAAAAACCATTGTCTCACATGCGTACAGTGCGTACTGAAGAGAATAATGCAGCCATAGCTTAGAGTGTTAATGAGTATCGTGAAATGTGAATTCGTCGCCGTTCTCAGCAATTGGGCATGTGTTACTCAACCACATGGAAAATTTTACATGTTGATTTGGGTTTGAAAGTCTATAAAATTCAACTTCTGCAAGAATTGAAGCCGAATGACCTACCGCAACGTCTAATTTTTGGTGAATGGGCCTTAGAACAGCTTAATGAAAATGCGCTGTTTTATAAAAAAATTGTGTTAAGCGATGAGGCTCATTTCTGACTTAACGGATATGTAAATATACAAAACTATCTCATCTGGAGTGATGAGCAGCCACATGCCATACAAGAATTACCGATGCATCCCGAAAAAACCGAAAGTTTGGTGTGGTTTATGGACTGGTGACATCATCGGTCTATTTTCTTCAAAGACGACCGTGAAAGAAACGTTACGATTATTTCTTGTGGGGCTATGTGAAGTCGTTAGTGTATGTGGACAAGCCGAACACAATTGAATCCTTACAGGATAACATACCTCGCGTAATTCGTGCGATACAAGCCGAAGTGCTCGAAAAAGTGGCGCAAAATTGTACCTTCCGAATGAACCATTTGATACGGAGCCGCGGACAACATTTATATGAAGTTATGTAGTGAAGTTATGAAGAAAATGTAAATGGCAAAGGCCAAGTTATCAATTTCAATAAGAATTTTGAGTATATGATAGAAATTGAGTGTTCTATTCGATTCAAAAAAAATTACGCTCAAAAAATCACCCATTATCAATTGCTTGGCAATCGGGTCGGGTTGTAAGTAAATTCCCGAAAGGGATTGAACATTTCAACATAGCTTTTAATTAACTTTCGAAAATACACAAACACACCGAAACAATTATCGAGCAGTTATTCAATATCGAGAAGATATTATTCGAAACTAAGCCTAGTGTAAGACGTTCGGAGTCCTGTTTGCACCTTTTTTTCAAGTTTTTTGCAATATTTCTCGAAAATTGAAGATATATATTTTCTTGTACTTCGCTTATATTTCGAAGTCCGTTTTAACAACCTAAATTGGGCAATTCGTGTTTCATCCAGACATTTTGGAATTCAGCGCATCGATTTATTGAAACTGGCAATTACGCAAAAAATTGTTGAGCCACAGTGTTCATTTTTTTCCAACGTGAAAAGCGCCAACATCGCCACGTTTCCACTGAATCGCAGTCAGGTAAGATGAAAACTAACGAAGTAATTGATTTGTTAAATAAACAATATATTTCCGAGTTTATCCGAATTTTATGCGCCTCTAAACAATAGATAGGGTCGACTGACAGCTCGTTTTGTTCGTTGTTGAATCGCCCACAATTTATCCTTTGATGTCATTAAGTTTACGTAATTATTTTCAATATTATTGATAAAAAACTAAAAAAAATGCGATTTTTCGGTATGAATCCTCAATAAAAAATTTAGTATTGGTACCTGCTTGTCCAAATTATAAGAAAATTGGAGTATGAACTGCCTTTCTCCTAATGGCACAGTCGGTGTGCCGAAATAAATCAAGTCACAACAAATTCCCTGTTGCTTGGCCTAACATATTGTACACAGACTTACTTTGTATCTAGGAATGCTTCATTAAAAAACATTGGTTTACTCTCATAGAGTAAACCAAGAGTAGATTCGACACGTGATTATTCGAAAACGATCGCACACGGTGCATTTAAGATTGATTCAAACATAAAATTCAACATCAGCATGGTTTCAATAAAATCTCAATGATTCCGTATGAGATTAGACACGTCTTGATAGTGACCAAATCATCAACGTTTCATGCTATCATAAAAGACAAAGTTACCTAACATACCGACCTGGTACAGCCAATCACGCAATTTTGTCGTATTAATTTCAAAATTGCACACATTATATAGCCACACGGTATCACGTAATAAAGTTGACAAAATATAAATATTGTTAAAAGGGAACAATCTATTCTAGTTACAATGCGTACCTAGAATTTTATATTCGAAATGAAATATTTGAGAGTAATATGGTAATACATACGAATAATATATATTGAGTTTGTTTTCACTAATTAATGTAATTTTATTATGTGTTTCGGTATATTGTAACATTATCACATACGAACCATACCAGTGGTGCTATACTATGACCGAACACGTGGAACTTGATTAATTAGTGCAAATTCAACATATTTGTATTCATCAGAATAATTATTAATTGGTTTTATGTAGCATTCACCTAAAATAAAATCATTATTTATTCCTATATATTTAGGGATATAATGATGTTTATATACTCCTTTGAACAATACGCTCTATTCATTTTCAATATGCACTGTTCATGTATTTGAAATAGCGTGACATATATATATATATATATATATATATATATATATATATATATATATATATATATATATATATATATATATATATATATATATAAAGGAGGACGGACTTTCGCCAATCCTTTTTAATATTGTTTCAGAAAAAATCATTAGGGATAGGAACTTCATGTGGAGGGTATACAAGAGGGTATCAAAAAAGAAAATCGAATAAATGTCAAAAGTCTCCCCTTTGCAGACGATACTGTTATCATTACAGATAACAGAACAGAAGCCGTTCTTGCCGTAGAAAAAGTACACTGTATACCATAGATTCTAGAAGAAAGGCATTCGAAACTCCTTTGAGAAAGAGTTTAATTAATTCTTGGAACAAATTTATAGTAATATTCGAAACATTGAGGCTTATTTCAAGTGATAATTATCACTTCATATTCATTACAACATTAACACTGATATTTAAGTTGTACTTTTCACTTATGTTGTAAACTTTCCATAAAGTTTATTGTAGCTATGACAAAGTTTATGTTGTTATCAAATTATTTCAGCTGGAAAAATTATTCCTTCAATTATAATTCTTGATTCCGTAGTAAATATTCATTAGCAAGCTTCATGTTTTCGATAATTCCAACGAACATGATTTAATCTCCAGGCCTACGTAAAAAGCATGTCTGGACAAATTTTCGAAAACAACGTATCCATACTTCATTCGTGTTTTTTCGCACTAAGCCTCTTCAGTACATAATCAAACTGGTTTATTTGGATATGTGATCCCCCAATTGAATGGCGAGAGAAATTATAATGCGCAGATTCTATATAAAACAGATTCAATGATAAATAATAATATAACGATGGAAAAAAGGACTCAAGCTCTTCCATGTTTTCCAAACTTAAAAACATTTAACATTCAGTCGGCTCCCGTGGCTTAGTCGGTAAAACATCCGACTATGTTGCGGTGGGATTCGGGTTCGAGTCCTGGTGAAGGCATGGGTATATGTGTTTGTCCATAATTCAAATAGTTTATTGATGATAATTGTTGGGTAATGTACGTTGATTACAAGCCCATTAACCGTCCTGAACCGGCATAAAACAGTAGATCCACTGAATTAAAAAAATATTCAACATTGATCAGTTAAATGTTCGACACTGTTAAATATACAACACTTTCGATCCTTCTGGGAGAGCCTGGAATTAATCTCCATCTGAGATTATTCAAAAGCTACTTATCAAACCGAAACCAAACAGTGAAGGTGAATAATACATTCAATAATATAAGGATGATAGAATATGGGGTACCTCAGGGAACAATAATAGAGCCAACACTATTCACAATCTATATGAATAAACTTTTGTTGTCGGAGTGTGAAGATAAAATATTCAGTTTTGCAGACGATACTGCGATAGTTTACTCAGGAGCAAACTGGAGCGATATCAAAGTCAAAGCTGAATCTGATTTCATGAATATCAATAATTGGTTAAAGCAACACCTCTTCAATATCAACATAGATAAAACGAAATACATTCCTTTTGCTGTAGACGAGTGCTTACTTCCACCAAGTGAACTACTGATAATTAAAATAGGAGTAAATACATTTACCATTCCTTGCCATTCGAATGTAAATACTTAGGAATTATACTGAATTCGCACCTTAAATGGGATTCCCACATCAGAAGCTTAATTGTTAAGCTCAAAGGATTAATATCCAAATTTAAAAAACTGTCAATTATTCTAGACGTAAAACATCTAACAATAATTTACAAACTCTAGCGAGGTCTCTGATACGATATGGTATTGTTGCGTGGGGTGGTGCCTATAATACCGTAATAAAAAGCTCGAAATTCAACAAAAATGGCTGCTGAAAGTCCTTCATAAAAAAGATATCAGATATCACACTGACTTTCTGTATAAAGAAGCTGACATACTGAATATACGCCCGCTGTTTGTTCAATCGCTGCTAAACTTCACGAAAAAAAAGATGGGCACTTGTTACTATATTGACCATAGCGTGAATGCCAGATATAGCAGGAACTCTCTTTATTAATTCCGCAATACAGTAAATCAAATGTCTTCGTAGCTACTTTTATTTCGCACCAAGAATTTGAAATGAATTGCCATTTAAATTAAAAACTATGAATAACATTAAAAATATCAAGTCTGCCATAAAGAACTGAATGAAAACATTTGCTGTTTGAACATTTGAAAGCTAAAATGCTTGTAAAACAATATATTATAGTCTTACCATCGCTACCTTATCGCTATTTTCATCATACTGCTAATAATGTCTGGAAACCGTCTGATAACAACCATACGATAATTTAAACACAATATTCTGATTTGCAAACAGAATATCATTTATTTATTGAATATAACCATTTATTTACACAGAATATTCTGTTACCGTCTGAAGAAGTCGGTGAAACAACGAGACGTGTCTTATTATGACAATAAAGGTTTGAATCAATTTCAAGTGCTTGACTTATTCCATAGTTATTATAACGGATTTGCACCGAGTAATTGCCAATACTATTCAATAATCCTTTGATAAGTTCACAATATAATGGGTGCTTTTTTAAGCGTAATTTTTTTTTTTTCAAATGAAACACTCAATTTGCTTCATATATTCAAAATTTTTATCGAAATTGATAACTGGGCCTTTGCCATTTACATTTAAAAGATAACTTCATGTAAATGTTGTCCGCGGCTTCGTCTCTCCTCAAATGGTCCATTCGGAAGTTCCAATTTTGTGTCACTTTTTCGAGCATTTCGGCCTCTATCCCACGAACTACGCATGTTATGTTATCCTGTCAGGCTTCAATCGTGTTCGAGTTGTCCACATACACTAAAGACTTTACATAACCTCACAAGAAATAATCCAGAGGCGTCAAATCGCATGATCTTGGCGGCCAATTCACAGGGCCATTTCGAGAGATATCCTTCAGCATGTCCATTGTTTCACCAATTGTGTGGCATGTGGCAACGTCTTGATGAAACCACATGTCAACGAAGTTCAACTCGGCCAACTGGGGCAAAAAAAGGTGCGTATCATGGCTCGATATCGTTCGCCGTTGACGGTTACGTTTCTTCCACGGTCGTCTTTGCGGAAAAATGGACCGATGATGCCACCAGCCCATAAACCACACCAAACTGTCGTTTTTCCGGGATGCATCGGCAAGTCTTATATAAATGTGGCTGTTCATCACTCCAGATGTCACAGTTTTGTTTATTTACATATCCGTTAAGCCAGAAATGTGTTTCATCGCTGAACACAATTTTTCGATAAAACAGCGGATTTTCATTAAGCTCTTCTAAGGCCCATTCACCAAAAATTAGAAGTTGTGGTAGGTCATTCGGCTTCAATTCTTGCAGAAGTTGAATTTTATAGGCTCTCGATCCCAAATACCAGAGTAACACATGCCCAATTGCTGATAACGGTGACGAATTGATATTTCACGATCCTCATTAGCTGTACGCTACAGCTTCAATATTCTGTTCAGTACGCACTGTACGCATGCGAGACAATGATTTAATGTCCAACAAAGTGAACCTGGTGCCAAGTTTTGTGATAACCTGGTGAATTGTTGATTCACCAGGTCGATTATGACGACCATAGTATGGTCGTAGCAAACAATACACATTCTTCACAGAGCACGAATTTTGATAGTAAATTTAAACAATTTGCAACCGTTGCTCGTTTGTAAGTTATTCCATGATGAAATGGCAGAGTATACTAAAAACTTCTCACTTTGACAGATGACGTTTGGTTACCATTACCCTCCAGTGCCGCCAATCTGAAAATCCTAACTTTAAAAAATCCCCCGTTACTAATAGAGTTGAAATATTGCTCGAAACTTTGGGAACAACCGATTAGGAGTGTAGACCACTAACTCAATTTTGGCAACACCGCCGGACTACGCTCTTCATGGCATCATTGAAGTCGGCCGCAACTCAGCCTATAGCAAAGGGCACTTTACTTCATTAGGTGAGTGGCAAACGTGAAAGATTAATTTTTTATTTTTATGTGCTTAAAAATACTGTATTTCAATGCTAGTATTTCCACAGAGGCAATTATTTGTCTGAAATGTGTCTAAATCACTGAATGCAGAAACTCGCAATGAGAGTTGCTACGAGTGGATGCATTACTCAAACTCCACACTGCGTGTAGACGATCAACCATTATGAAATTGCATAGAAGAGCTCAATTTCCCATTCATAATCGCCCGGTAATATGTGCTTCATTTCTGAGGGGCGTATACTCATATTCTGCATCAGTTTGTTCATGTTGTACAGACTATTGCGTATGAAATTCCTGCAAAACGTGATACCATCCTAATATCTCCATAGCGATCTAATCAAGTTATTCAAGTGGCGATAATGCGAAAACAACAACGAAGAAAATGATTAATAATTCGGTCTTCTTGTTTGCATTTTATCAAAGCTTGATGACGTAATATTCCATCAACTTGAGACGACCTGTAAGAATCTGGTAATATTCAACGAGAAAATCGCCAAACCCTCAAAAAATTCAACAGAGAGGCATTATCATTAGGGGTTATTATGTAAATTGACATCGGAAGTTATTAGAAAAGGCAGAAATTGAACATTTCTGCTAAGTATGCCACATTTTTCATTCAGATTTTAGTACCATTAGATCGGTTCAACAATCGTAATGTTCATTTGGAAATTGATCGATACAAGATCATTTAGATTCATCTGTCAAAATTATAAGAGTTGATAGTGTGTTTAAAATGAAGAGTACTATCTTATTTACTAATAATTCTCTCCGAAAAATAAACATTTGAGAATATTCTTGAAGAATGAAATTGCGAATTTAATTTTCTTCGAATATTTTGAAAGGGTTTTAACAGAGAATTATATTTTCAGTTACTGTATTTTCCAATGATCAAAATAATATTTTGGATGATAATGAATGGAAATATTATTATTCTTCATCATGAAAAAAAATCATCGAAAAGTGTCGTCTATGTAGCGTAGTGGTAGAGTAACTGACTCTCACGAGGAAGATCTGGGTTCGAATCACGGGTAAGACATCGACGTTTGTGTATGCTAATGAGTTTTAGCAGTCAAATGAAAAAGTTATATGAAGAAGTAATGTCCAAAGATGACAAACACAAAAAACAATCGTCGGAAATTTGTTCCTGGGTATTAACGCAACAAACGATTCATCGAATCTAGAACGTATGACGGCATTTTGTATGAACTGGAAGACAACAGAAACTTCAAGAGAACAAGTAAGACCCGATACATTTGCGTTCAAATATCAATTTTCAGATATTGCATCCATTTATATTAGAAATAATGAAACAATATTCAGAATTTTCTCATAATTTAATACAAATATGCATGACGACGTTTGGAAGTACTACTTCTTTATCAAATGCTGAATTGATAATAGGTGTAATTTAACAAACTCACTACTTATAGCTATTTAAACAGAACATACCAGGTGTGATCTATGTTCTTCGTATTCTTTGTTCGAACAATGAATACAAACCAGATATAATAAACAATTCAATAAACAAAAAACTTTTCGAAAGAGCTGTTTCAGAAGTTTATCCTCCTATTAACGAAAAGTCAATATATTGTGTTTTAACATATATGGGGACACCTAGTTTATAATTAAAATCACTTTTAGCAGGCTATAAGTTTAATATTTCTTTTCGGATCACTATGTTACCAATAATATTGGTAACATAATCAAAAATAATAAATCAAAAATTGACAGAAATCAAATGTGTATACAAAATTGAATGTGGCAGTTGTGAAAAATTTTATATAGGAAGAACTTTCAGAAATTTCCAAATTATATTATCGGAACATAAACGTAGTTTCAAGGAACAGAAAACATTCCCATTATGCTAACCATTCATTAGAGGAAAGTCATATATTTAGTTCATAGTTTGAAACATTAAATAGGGAGAATAAAGATTTCAAGCTAAATCTTCTAAAATCGTTACATATTTATAAA